ATGTCTTTATGTTTGGGTCCAATCATTTCACATTTATTCATGACTCTGAAGTGCTTGTGATTTGGGATTCTAAGCAGTGTGTTGTGAATAGAAATGTAGCTCAGAAAAACAGATATAGCCATCAAGTCTAGTTAATATTAATTAACTATACATACAGCTGGCTGGCCTGTTTTCCATTGTTTGGAAAAGAATGCCTTATCCAGAATAGCTATAATTGTTTTGAGCGTCATCTATCTCTCCAAGTTTTTCATTATCTTCATTAGTACAAGCATTTGTAAGAATGGTTCTGTATTGTTTCTTGGGAAATTAAGAGGTACTTTGAGTCAAGGAAGGGACATAAAGTAGAGCTGATTCAATTGAGGTGCCCACTTTCTGTTTGTAGTTGTAGCAGTGCTCTGCAGTTTAGAGTCTTGTTTAAATAAAATTGCATTTGAAGTGCTGTACTATGAAATATCACCTGATTTGTGGTTGCTTACTTACAATCATTTTATAAGATAGACTTGTCGATGTATTAAAACAGACTTTTGATTTATACAGTTGTATTTTTTAAATGTATTCTGCTTTTGTTAATTAATCCTAAATACTTCCGTGGCAGTATTAATGTTCAAAGTATTTGATGTTTTAAAAATTGTAAAAATGTAGTTTCATTTGTAGAGGTTAGTGAGGAAACATGTCTTTTGTTATTGCCAGTAAACCACTACTAGTAATAAAGTTTGAGGTATTTTCCTTTAGAGCTTTTTTATGGCAATTAGGATTTAATTATCTTCAAGTAAGCTGTAGGTAGTTATTAAACACTTTAAGAGTTCAACACACATTATGCAGCATCTTCTGCCTGATGGATACTGGAAGGGTGAACAACCCAGAAATAGTAATGCATTGCTTTGAGAACAAGAGTGAGTCAAGAATTGTAAGCAATTCAGTGATTCTTGTTACAATAGCTGATTAGTTGGGAAAAAACTGTTAGCAGAATGAGATGTCCTCAAATTGTGAGTAACGTTTTTGTGCTGAGAGGCTAGTCTCTTTTACCCAGCTGAAGAAATTGAATTTGTACTAGCCTACTTACTCAAAGCCTGTTCATTTGGGAAGTGTTAGCAAATCCAAAGTGGTTAGACTGATAAATTGGTATAGTGAAGTCGAGAGAGCTGGAGACCTAGCATACTAATATCTAAGGTGAAGTCTGAAATTTTTTGGGGGGTGTGAGAATTTCTTATTCCTTCTTAGTTCCTTTTAAGAATGTGCTAGAAGCTGGTATATGTTTAGTGTTTTTGAAAATGTAATTCAAATTTTATATTTCAGAATGTTGTGTGCGTAGTAGATGTATAGTATTCTATTTGTACACTGCTGATATTAGAAACGTGTTCCATGTTCTTGAAATGTACTGTGTACTGAAACAGTTTTTTCTGCTTTCTTGAATTATGAGTTTGATTATGGAAACATGTTTACTGGCTCTTTTTTAACATATGTAAAAGTACTAGCTAATGTAGCATTTCTCCCTGAGAAAGTTTCTTTTTCCTTTCTCTTGTGCTTATGCTTTTTGGGTTTCTTACTCAAGCCGTAACTTCTGATGTTTCCAGCTACTTTCATATTTTCATCTATTATAGAGTATCTATTAATACCGATTATTCAAATTGTGTAAAAATAGAACCAGTATCAGTATTTTGATATCAGTAATTAGATTTACTGCAGCCTGAGCAGTTCTCCTAGTACTTGTGCATTTAAACATTTAACTTTGTATTGTACCATTTCATTAAATAAGTTAACCAAGCTGTGGTTCATATGGTTGTGCTGTACTTGAAGACCTGAATTTGAGTCCTAGGTAATCCATGGTCTTATTGAGTCAGTTTTGTTTTTTCTTTTAATTGTTTCCCAAAACAGTATTTTGGAGTGAAAGTAGTTTTATCAATTTAATTATTACTGAGATTTATATTTTAAGTTAATTCATGTTTGGTTACAGTTGTCATTGCCAAAAACTTTTGCACTTTATTCTTAATACTGTGGTATTTCCTGTTTAATGTTAAAGGTCTGCCATATTCCATTTTGTAGACTTACATCTCATGGGGGAATGCCAAAGAAAATTGAGTGAAAGAACAGGTCTTGCTTGAGTGCAGGATTTACATGTATTTTTGTGATAGTGATATAGTGATAGATGTAGTGTGATATTCCAGCTCAGGTGTCTTCTACCTCATAGGGCCAAAGAATACCCAAATGTTTTGTAACTTCAGACTTTTTTTCCGAACAGCAGTGAAATGAATGTTGGTGAAGTTCATAATATTGGATTATCAGTGCAATTTACCTTTCTTTCCTACCGATACTGGTACTACAAAAGATATTACAGTTATCTGTTTTCCATGCCTGCGATGTCATGGGCATCATTTGAGGAGGTCAACAAATGGACCAAGTTGCTATTGTTTGAGATACTTGCACATGGTCTGAATTTCTGCCTCCTGCTCTTTTTTTTTTTTTTTTTTTTTTTTTTGTGAGATCTGTTCATTGTCTGCAGAAAACCATGAATGTAACTCACTGTTACTGTTGTAGGACTGGAACAGTGCCATTACTGTAAAGGAAATAGACCCCAGTTTTCAAAAAACATTTGATTAGCTCCTAACCCTGCTATAGTGCACCTCTTCCTATTTTATTTTTTAATTTTTAGATTTTATTTATTTTTTATCTTTATTTTTATTTTATTTTCCTTTCCTTCTTTGCATTCATGAATTGTTTCTCAGGAGGAGAAATTATTTGTGTGTATTAATATGTTCTGTGTTACTGTTTTCAGTGCATCAGTGAATAAAGCATTGCTTTATCAACCCACTCATCAATAATGACCATTAACTGCTGGGTGTCAGATGGAATGTTGAATACAAGCTTGTTCTTCAAAGTGGCAGAATCTGATTCCTTTTTGCTGTAATAAAGTTGCTTCTGTTTGAGGCACTGTGTTGCTGGGAAACTGCTGCTAATTTCATGCCATATGTCAGTAGTGGTGACTCAAATTGTACATGTCATTGAGTAGCTCTGCTCCTTGTTTGTAAACTCTCTTCTGTTAGGAGAGAGGGAGAAAAAAAATGTTCTGCAGGGAAGAGTACCAAAGAAGAGAAAAAATTTGAATTGGGAACAAAAGCTCAGATTGTTCTGTTGATAATGTCACTTTACTTCCAGTCACTGAAAGGGAGAGGTTGCTTGTCTGAATTTACACCAATCTCTTAGACAAGTCTAACAGAAGAACCCCCTACATTTCTACTGCTTTCTACTTTGAATTCCAGTTTCCAGTGTGGAGAACTTCAGTATGTGATGTGACTGAAAAGAAGAATAACAAATTAGACTCTCAAAAGTTTATGAATTAGGAAACTGAAGTTTTGGTTCACAGCAGTGGTGTACAGTGGCAATTTTGGAAGACTGTAGAAAATACAGTACTTTGTAAAATGAGTTGCTTCACAGCCTGCACATGAATCAGAACATGCATACAATTACAGTTCCAAAAAGTGAATGTACCTGAGCATAAACTTTAATATATTTTCTAGATGCGTAAATGGAATAAATGGAATCCGACTGTCAAGTTACAGTATTTTCTTAAATCTGCCCTCTTTTGCTGGTTAAAGGAGATAATCCATTTCCTGATATTCACATTCAACTCAGTTTTTTATCAGTCTTTGTTTTTAATCTTACTTGGGATGCTTCTGTAAGACTGTGTGTGTGTGTGTGTGTGTGTGTGTGTGTCTGAAGCCTGCTTATTTAAACACACAAATCATGTCAGCTGCAATGCGGCAGTGCTTGGTGCTAATGAGGTTAACATCCAGAGTATCCGTCTGTTTTCTGATCTCTGTGCAATTCTGGCAATGGGAACTGGGGATGAGGGGAAGATATTTTGATTGGATATGGCTTTGTTTTGGCTCAATGCCCTCCTGGTGGCTGGGCAATATATTTCTACCTCCATTTAGGGAGCTCAGTGTTTATTTCATTATTTTTCGTGCAAGCTCTAAGATACAACGTGGTTGGAAAGAGAAAGCTGGAAGTACACGTAGGATCCTTTGTCCCCAAAGAGTTGCTTCAAATGTACTTTTAAATGAAAATAAAAAGAAAACATACTTCCTGACAGTATGCATGTCTACAGATTGGGTATGTGCATGTCTGTGTTTGAAAAGTAATGACTTTGAAATAGAGCTAATCAGGTAATTATTTGGGGCTAAGTCTAGATAGTTGGACAGGCCTTTCATAGGTACAGAAATGCAGATGAGTTATGATTTCTGAGCTCATTTTTTCTCATTTTTAACCCTTCAGTTGCTGACAGCAGTGTGAACTGTGTATTTTACATTCAAATCAGTTGGTCTTAAAGGCAAATAAAGTGAATATAAAGTACTTGTCTTTTCCCATTTTCAGCTGTCAGACTGTCTTCATCAAGCTTGATGTCTTCCCAACTGATCCTGTCATATTTCTGTGCTTGCAACTTTCTTTCCATGTTTTTTTCTTTTTTTCAGAGACATTGTAAAACTCTAGGTCATGAGAAAGTGATGGCGCTGGTCTTGGTGATGGAGTTGACTTTCCTTACAGTTCCTTCCTTAATGTTAACTAGTGCTATCCTGCTAGCTGATAACATTGAATATTTATTTACTGTATACCAGGTTTTTAAATGATGTGTTAAAAATGTTGCTTTTTTAAGTATCTATTTAACCTCAGTTACTTTGGTGATTGTGTAACATGGTTTCACAAGGAGAGGAATCAATACAAGTGGGCCTGAGAAAGGTAGAAACTGTATCATGTAGGCAAGACATACATGAGAGAGGCAGGCATTTCCCGAGTTATTGTTACTACTCTTGTCACTGTAGTGCACAGCTAACCTGCAGAGGAAGGTTGGCAATTCAACATAGCACAAAGTTTTTCATCCTGGGAGATGGTCTAAGATTATGTGCCCTAATACAATCTAAAAGTAGCATATGAAGCTGTATGACTGAGAAGATGCATGCTGTTCTAATGCTCGCTATTGGAATGGTTTTGTTTTCCTTCTTTAGGTCTTCGGGTGAACGGGGAGCTTATTACTGCTTACCCTCAAGTGGTGGTAGTCCGGGTACCAACACCTTGGGTCCAAAGTGATAGTGATATCACAGTCCTTCGCCATCTAGAGAAGATGGGCTGTCGGTTAATGAATCGTCCCCAGGCCATCCTCAACTGTGTCAATAAGTTCTGGACGTTTCAAGAACTTGCTGGTCATGGTGTGCCCCTGCCAGATACGTTTTCGTATGGTAAGCCTTTGGAATCAAATAATGAAATAGTTGCCTGCAGAATTTATGCTTTTATAGCAAGTCGAGTTTTGGAAATCCTTAGAATTAAGTAGGGAGAGGCTGATTCCACAAATAAGTGATCAGTAACTAGAAAAAGTATGGTAGTCACATGCTGGCTTTGGCTTTGTTGGTTAGCTGTGATATCTTATGAAGAGTAGTGTAATTGTGGCTCTACCTCCCAGCAATTAACTTTGCTGATTACTTCTAAAACACCTTGAGCTCTTCCAGTTGCCTAAAACAACAGACAGAATCTCAGGAAATGGAATGTTACAGGATATTGAAGATCTGAAGTTTAGTAAAATCTGAAAATATGTCAAACTTCTATATTAGTTGTTATGAAAGGCCAGAAGTAGCACAAGCTCACATGTTCAAGTACTTATTAACAGTTCTTTGAGGTTTGGTATCCCTCTGGAGTTCCCTCCTTCAGTTAGTTACTGATGCTCCTTGTTCCTGCCTCTGGAGTCTTTGGTTCGTTACAGAGTGCCAGATTAGGAGAACCATTTGTTTGAGCTACCATGGTTTTTTTTGTTTTAATTAAAATACATTAAAAAATGGAATGCACCTCTCACCCTTCCTTTCTTTTTTGGGAAGCGTTAGTGCCTTCCTCTCCTTCATGCAGTTACACTGATAGGCTTTTCTAATGAAAACTTAGCAAAAACACAAACTTGATAAAAGCGTCAGTCAGCTATTTCTATCAATACTATGAAAACGCATTTGAGAAGAAATATGCATTCTTTATAGATACAATTGCTCTAGCTCTTTCAGAAAGGGATGAGTTTTTAGTTCACTGTGGGGAAAGGGAAACTAAGAATGACGGAGTAGTTGGAGAACATCTCTGTTTCTTCCTAACCCCCTGCCTGTCTTTTAGTTCTTTTAATGCCTGTCTCTGGAATTTGACGGAAGTGTTACCTTTCTTTTTTACACTAGTATGAAGTTATCAAGGAGAGTCAGCTTTGCCAAGAAAAACAGGATGTATTGAACTACACTTTATTCTGTGACATGCATTAAAATCTGTGGTGGAGTAGTGCTAAATGCTTCTGGCTTTCTGAACAGTGTCCTGGCTTAACTTCTGTGCTTTCCTGCACATGGTTTAAGAGGAGTCTCAGCCCTTCATCTGCTGGCTTATCTTATTTCTTGTACTGTGGTCAGCCTCCTGTGAATCAAAGAACTCAAATAAAATTAAAGCATCCATCATAAATGTTAAATGTTACTCTCTAAGATTCTTGCAGATTCAATGCAGCAAGAAGATCAAAGTAGTAATTCAAGAAATAGGGAGAAAGAGATGCAAGAGACTTAAGTCTTAGAAAAGGGGAAATGGGTCACAAGATTTGAATTGCTATTGCTGTCAGGATTACGCCTTTGAAAAGCCATGCTGTTTTTCTGGCTTGTAGTTTGGATGGAACTGTTCCTGGTGTTATGTCGGTGGTATTTTCCTGTTAGAAAATTTGGATGATGAAGTACAAGGGCTAAACTGGAACAAGATGGTGGAATCAGGGCATTCAAATTTGAATTTGGGGTTGTGATCAATCACCACTATCATTATTAAACATTTGTTAATCTAAAAGAGATTTAAGTTAGATGTTATAATTAAATTCTTAACTCAGAGAGTGGTGAGACACTGGCATAGGCTGCCCAGGGGAGCCTTGGAGGCATTCAAGGCCAGGTTGGATGGGGCCTCGGGCAGCCTGATCTAGGAGTTGGCAACCCTGTCCACAGCAGGTGGGCTGGAACTGAATCTTTAATGTCTCTTCCAACCTAAGCCATTCTATGATAGTCAGCTTGTGTCTTACGTTCCAAAGGAAGTAGAAATTGGTAAGGCACAGATTACAAAATTCTTAACTGTTATTTTTTTTTTCTCTGCATTATCTAAGTTGGAAGAGTGAGAGGAATGTGTCACAATTAAATCCCCAGTTTGGCTACACCAGGCTGGTGGCATATAATATTATTGGTTTTCTTTTACCAGGTGGTCATGAGAATTTTGCCAAAATGATTGATGAGGCAGAAGTGCTGGAGTTCCCTATGGTGGTGAAGAACACGCGGGGTCACCGAGGTGGGTCTGAGGTCAGAGGTGAAGGCAGGGAGTATTCTGAGCAGTACCAGAGATTTTGTGTTGTCAAAGAGTAATAGTTAAGAAGGTTTTCTATTAGGTGTTGAATTTTTTTTGCAGTACTTCTAAATTCTTCTAGCCTCCAAATTCTGAATGTTGAGTAGGTTGCAATACTGGGAAGCAGTTTTAATAGAATGTGATCTTGAAATACCAGGGAGGGTAAGGGTTCAGAGTTAACAGTATATTAGTGACTTTTGCAAGGAGTGCTTTGAACTGGAATAATGGAAGGCCTAGCTCCAGGGATATGGAGAAGTGCCTTCCTGGACTTTACGGATGTTTCTAAACAGGCATAATAAATAAAATTTTAGTTCAATAAACCTTAATTTGTTTTTTTTTTCTAAGTGACTTTTTCTATAGTTAGGATTCTGATTTGTATATAATCTCATATGCAGTTTGCCAAATGGAATCTTTCTTTTTTGGGGGGGGGGGGAGAGGGAAGGGAAGGGGAAAATCTCTGACAGCACTGGTGATAGTGCAGCAGGTTCATGTGAAATTTTTCTGTTATCATTCTTTTGATTTAAGGGTTGGATCTAAAATACTACATCAATTCATTTTAATGATAGATAGTGATCTACTGAAGTAAAAAGGTTTGGAATAAATTTTAGAGGTTATTTATATAGGAGATCACACTGTTTTTAATCCACTTTGAAAAATACAAGAGTAATAAAGAGTCTGAAGCTGATGCTTAAGCACATAAACCAGGAATTACTGTAAACTAATAGAAACATACCCACATGACACCACTTCTTCCTTCTTATTGCACCTGTTTATTCCCACATGATTGTTCTGGTACATCTCTTCTGAAACATGATGGTTTCTGTAAACGTTCAATAAATGATTCAGGAATAATTATTAGCTTAATCTAGACTGGTTATGTTTATTTGGATTAGTTCCTAGCTCGAATTACCAGGTATTTTCACAAACTCTGCACTGATGTGGTGGAACACTAAGAGCAAGAGGCTGTGGCAGTAGAATGTTTTGGCAGTAATATCTATTTGTATGGTCTTATAGTGTTTGCAGACCTTTACAATCTGTGATGTTGGAATTTGACTTTTCAGCAAGCTGAATTTGACAAATGTGGAGTAACTGAGGAACTGGATTGGGTTTGCCTTGACATTGCTTCTTGTTAAGATTTAGAAATAATTGTAGAGTTTGTAGCTATTGACTTTCTTTTCAATTTTTTAGCTAGAATTCATATGAATCTCTGCTTAAGGCTAGTGTATCCTGGGCTGCATTAGGCAAAGTATTGCCAGCAGGTAGAGGGAAGTGACCCTTCCTATCTACTCAGCACTGGAAAAGCCACACCTGGAGAGCAGAATCCAGTGCTGGGCTCTCAGAACAAGAGGGATATGAAGCTGAGGTTCAGCAAAGGGCCGTGAAGATGATCAAGGAATTGGAGCACCTGTTCTATGAGGGTAGACTGGGAAGAGAAGGGACCATTGAGCCCTGGAGAAGAGAAGGCTCAGAGGGCATTTTACCAAGTCTACAATTATTTAAAGGGGAAGTGTCCAGGGGATAGATCTAGGCTCTTTTCAGTCGTGCCCAATGCCAGGCTGTGTACACAAGCTAGAACACAAGATGTTCCCTATAAATTGCCAGGAAGTACTTCCATGGTATGTGTATGACTGAGCACTAGCACAGGTTGGCCAGTTTGGTTGTGGAGTCTCTTTCACGAAGATGCTCAAAAAAGCATCTGGACATGGTCCTGGGCAGCCTGCTGTAGGTGCCCCTACTTGAGTAAGTGTTGGGACCAGATGACTTCCAGAGGGTCCTAAAGCATCAATTAATTCTGTAATTTTGTTTATGAATCTTACATACTTCATATACTGTACATTCTAATGCAAATTTATCACAGTGCCTGCTCTTTCACATTGAGAGAGTTGGGGAAACTTCTTCAAATTAATTTAAGATGAGCCCATTTCGAATGGTATTTAAAATTGAGACAAATGTTCACAGAAGTCATTTAATGAATAAAAGTCATGCTTACCTAAGCCAATTTTCTGCAGTTTGCTGCTGCTGCAAATGTGCCATTTTTATTTTGCCAAGATTTTGTGGTGATGCATAATCACAAAAAACTAAGTAGTTCTCCTTCAAAGCATCGTTCATTCTGTCCAGTTCTAGGAATACAGTAGGAGTAACTGCCAGTAGGAGAGCTAAACTTGGACATGGGAGAGATCATGTGGAAGATTTTGCTTTTTTTGTCTACTTTTAAGTCTAGGTTCTGCTACTGTGATTCCTGTCAGAAATTCCGTGTTCCTCAAGCAGCATTTTGTGCTGTGAAGGACTTAAACCCTGAGAAAGCAGAGACTTCTCCAGTTGAGCACTTGCTAGAATTCTTAGCACATTGTTTCTGCTAGGTCTGCTACAGTTGCAATTCTGTTTTCTTAGAATAGGCGGTTTATAAATCCATTTTTGCATTTTCTTAGTATTGCAGCATAACTCAGTGATAATTGTGCCATAAAAAATAAGTGTAGCCTTATCGCAAAACATACATTTAATATGACATGAATGAGTCATTAACAAAATGAGAGAGGAATTGGGAGAAGTAGCTAAAGATGGAAATGGATGACTTTTTGTAAGACTAGAAAAGAGATGGAAGTGATGGAGTCTTCCTCAAATGCTTTTCATTTGTACTAGTAAAATTGGATGAGAACAGAGAAGCCTTTTGATGTGCTTTAGAAGTGAAGGAGAATGAAATGACATGTTTGAACTTAAAACAAATCTTTCCTAAGTTTGCTGGCAGAAAAGCCAGTAATTCCTGAAGAGCTAAAGAGGTCTTTTTCAAAGTTACAGTACATGCCATTTATGTTTTTGGAATGTTCAGTTAAATTTATCTTGGATACTTTGGAGTGTAGTATTTTGTTCTGAACTAAGTTGTTTCACAGCTAAGCCTCATTCTGGAATTCTGAGTTCTTAGAAGTACTGGGAAGAGAAGCTTTCAGCAACTTCCTGGTAGTGAAGCAGCTTTGCAATAACACACTAGTCGCTTAAGAGCTCCTAGCAACCTGTTGTTTAGCAGTTTCATGTGATTAGTTCTTGCCGTATCAAACATGTAGGCTGTGGGTCTAATTAAATGTCTACTGCTTTTGTAGTATTTCTTCCCTTTTTCTCTCATTAAGGACTTGTTAACTTTACCACCCCAAAACAGACTGAAATTGCAAAAACACCTCCATTATCTACAGCTTCTTGGTTTTATTTGTTTACTTTTATTTTTAATTTATTTTTATACTCTTCTCATGGCTCCTCTATTCTTTCAGTACTTGAATGCTTAGAAGTACTGAAGCACTGGAATGCTAATGTGCACAGAAGAATTTGTAAATGCATATATACCACAGATAGCGCATGTAAGAATGAGCAACATAGTGGTCAAAGGTTTTACTTCTCTGTGTTGAATCACTGACTCAGCACAAATTAGTAGCTTCTTTCAATCCTACAATGCATCCTTTTCTTATACAGGCAAAGCTGTGTTCCTGGCACGAGACAAGCACCATCTGGCAGACCTGAGCCATTTGATCCGTCATGACGCCCCATACTTATTTCAAAAATATGTTAAAGAGTCCCATGGCAAGGATGTACGTGTCATCGTAGTAGGAGGCCGTGTGGTGGGCACCATGCTCCGTTGCTCTACAGATGGGAGAATGCAGAGTAACTGCTCACTTGGTAGGAAAAACTTTGTTCATAGTTTTGATCAAAATATTTGAATTCGTAAAAAGGACAAACACAGTTGCAATAAACTGAAGGTTTTATTTTGTATTGTGTTTACCTTTAGATGTTCACAGAGGAAACGTGAGAGCAAGAACTAAGTGAAATATGCGTCACACAAACCTACAATCAGAAACTATCTCTGCCCCTAGATGAATAGGATAGATACAAGGGGTGGGAATTTCTAAGAGCACAAACAGAGTGTATGGTGCAATGGACTAGAAAAACAAAAAGTAGTGGGAAACCAGAGAAAATATGAGACCGCCAATTTGGAAAAGGGTAGAGTACTAAGAGAGAGAAAATGGTTTAAGGAAGTCAACAGCCAAGTTGCATTTTACAGCTGCTTGTGCTGCCTTAAGTATGTCAGTCTCCTCCCTGCAACATTTTTTCCCTAAAAACCATGTCTGTGAGGAAGTTTACTACACAGATTGTTGTATGCTTAGATCTGTATTTCTGCATCACTTTTTGTAGGCTAGGAGAGGGTGAAGGGAAAAAAGAGGGTTGGGGTTCCTGGCTAGTAAATTCACTGAAATTACTGAAACTGACCTGAGCAGGGATTGGAAGAACTGTCTTCATGTACAGTACAGTTTTAGTAGGTCAAAATGCACTACTTCTCAATGCTGCGGAAATGCAGCCTGGAAGATTTTTCTACTAAATATTTTAAGTGTTGTTTTATATTTTTAAACTTAAGTGATATGATAAATGAATTTTGTGTCATTTAGTACTTAAATGATGGTCTGTGTAGTAGACGAGTCGAGGTGCAGACAGTGTTCCAGAATTCTTTCTTTAGAGACAGTAACTTATGACAGCAAACTGTGAGGGATACAAGCAAATAAAAATGTCCTAACCCTCTTCCCCCACAATTCTATCTGGTAGATCTGTATTCTCATCAAGAACATTTGGTTCTTGGATGATTTATTGTGATTACTTACAAATACATATAGCAAGCCTCTATTAAGATTAAGGGAGGAAACAAGGGTATGTACAGAAAGCTTCTATCTTAGAGATAGAAACAGAAATGATTTGTTTAGTCATCTTTTTAATTCCCCGAAGATAGCAAAAATATATAATTACATATTTCTTCACTATTTTTATCACTGTTTTTTTAAACAAGTCATAGTTTTGATCTGCCTTTTGCAGAATCTTTTGAAGTCCTGCTAGGTTTCAAGTTATTGGCAGTTGTTGTGGCAAGGTGGTTGCTTTCTGAGTTGTTATCATCTCTATGCTTGCAGGCTTTCTTTGATCTTCAACTGAACTGCACCAGCCAGGCAAGAAGTGTGTTGGTCACCTGTGTCCAGAATAGACACTGAGTTTTTTTTCACTTTTTTTCCAGGTGGTGTAGGGATGATGTGCTCACTGAGTGAACAAGGCAAGCAACTGGCAATCCAAGTGTCCAACATCCTGGGGATGGACGTGTGTGGCATTGACCTACTGATGAAGGACGACGGTTCATTCTACGTCTGTGAGGCCAATGCAAATGTAGGTTTCATTGCCTTTGACAAGGCTTGTAATCTAGATGTAGCTGGTATCATAGCGGACTATGCCACTTCTCTCCTATCCCCCGGTCGCTTGACGCGGCGCATGTCCTTACTCTCTGTGGTGTCCACGGCAAGCGAGACTAGCGAGCCAGAGCTGGGCCCTCCAGCTAGTGCCGTTGTCGACAATATGAGTGCTAGCTCCAGCTCTGTCGACAGCGACCCTGAGACCACGGAGAGAGAATTGCTCACCAAGCTCCCGGGGGCTCTATTCAACATGAACCAGCTATTAGCCAATGAGATCAAACTTCTTGTGGAGTGATGCCACATGTAAATAGATGACCAACAGAACTCTCTTGTAAAATTTTCTTTGAAACCAACTTGCAGTGCTGTTTATCAGAGAAACTCAGAGAAATGAGGAAAGGAGAGTCAGTCAAGAGAGCAAGATAAAAAGGCATGTGTTCTGTGACAGCTGCCTCTATTTTTTTGCAGAACATAATATTGTGATAATTCTTCAGCACTATTGTTGTAATGAAGATGTTTAATTTACAGCCTAAATGGGAGTTTTATTTGGATGCTGCTTTGATTCTGCAATTTGATATTGCGGTGCATGGGTGTTCGCAGGAAAGCATTGAAATATGATTAACTGGAAAATTTTCAGAAAGTTCTGGTATCTCTCTAGAAACTTTTGTGAGTTAATGCAGCAGTTAGCTCTCTTGTGCTCTCTAAGGCTTGATCTTGTAAATTGCTGACTGCCTTTAATTGTCAGTGAGAGTTCAGGGTGTTAAATGCCAGGTATTTAAAACTCCTGGATACCTACTGTTCCCACTCTTGTGGTAAATTCAGCATAGTTTTGAAATCGTCTCTTTCAGACCTTACAGGATGTGGCCATTCAAATGTTGAGACAGAGAGGGGTGTCAGTTGCCCTAATGTGAGCTTCTGTACAAGTGTCAAATTGGTGCCATCTTGATATTAACAGGCAGATTTGTGTCTGTTTTTCTTTATAAGGCATTTGAAAGAGGATTTCTAGTACCTCAGATTTTTTCACTTCAAATCCTGAGTTTGAGAGGTATGCAGGGGAATGGGTCATATTATATTGTGGTAGAAGTGGCACATTTTAACTATTTTTTGCATGATTGGAGGAGTTAAACAGCACTGTAATGTTTGGTATACAAAATAATGTTTAATCCAATGTGAAAAAAAATTACACTAGTTTAAAAAAAAATGTGCATTGGCTTGTATTTGTTAGTGTTTTAGTCATTTTGGGAGAGATCTGCAATGTTAATGTTCCTTTTTTTTTTTTTTTTTTTTTTTTTTTTTTTTTTTTTTTTTTTTTTT